ATTCCCAATAGCAGACCACATCCCCATGGGAAGCTCATAGCAGGGCATCAAGAGTCTGGATAATTACTGTCTGAAGGCTACAGATCTCTAATGTGTTCATTTCCTGTCTTTTGCATTGGTCTTTTTGACTAGCAGTTGTGCAGATTGACTTTATTTCCTTTTGCATAATCAGACATACTTTTTCATCCTCATCTCCCACACATTCTTGATCCCACAGTGGAAACTATGCAGCTTCTACAGGCTTTCCCAGGGATAATTTGAAATGCTGCTGCGTCACCTTTTGGGTATTAAATTCCAATGGTCTGCTTGTATTTCTGTTCAAGTGTTTTGCCTATTTCATCTCCAGAGTGAAATACTCTGTTGGCCTATGGAAGTTTGCTGCCACCTGCTGGATTCCCATCTTTTCACCAGCACGCTGGTCTGAAGGGAAAATCAAGCAGGGGACTCCATTAGTATGTATTTTTCGGCCTCTATCCTGTACTTAGATGTGCCTCCCAATAGTACTTCAGAAAGGAGACTGAGAATGAGCATTCTATTCTGCCCCATAAACCATGATGCTTGAGCTATGATGGCTGGGTTCACACAACTAATAATCTAGGTCATGACTTGATGTAGAACCTATGCTGATAATTAAGCCTTCCAGCCAGTCTGGAGGTGTTGAGAAAAAAGAACATTAGGGAGGTAAGTATTTACATGTTATGTTAATAGGAAATCTCCCTCTCCTCAAATAGATTTGGTTAAAAAGAAATGCTCCACTCATAGCAAAGAAGTTAAATTTCTAGGCAGACTAACAGCCCAAATCTCAGGAGAGTTAACCACAAATTTCTTCAGGCAGGAGGTTATCTTGGTGTTAAGTCTAAGTGGTGTATAGGAACTAGTCTGTGATGCAATTCTTGAACCAATTAGAAACTCTAAGCACAATGCACAAACAAATTACAGTGGTACCTCGGGTCACGAACGCTTCTGTTCACGACCAATGCGGTTCACGAACAGCACCGTTTGCAAAATTTTGCTTCCATTCACGAACTCTGCATGGGGTGACGAACAGGATCCGTGGCCATTTTCCCGGCTGTGACCCGTGGTCGTGGCTTCCTGTAGGAGGGGGGACCCTCCCTCCAAACAAAAACCGCCTCCCCACCCACCTTCCTGTCCTCCACGCCAGAAGTCGCCTCAAGCAAGGTTAG